TGAAAAACCTGCCAAGAAAACTGCAGGGACTTGTCCAGGCAGTTGCCAGGAGTCAAAAACTGATTCAAAGGCACACATACAGATGCACACATGCAGACAGACACCAAGACACACACAAAAAGGGGCAAAAGACACAAGGGACACCTTCTGCTATTACTTTTAGGTGTTTGGAAACAGCACTTGAAGTACTGGATGTTGCAGCTGGAAGCATGCAAGCATACAGCTGCTGAGTAGAGTCCTTCAGGTGCAAATCTGGCTGCTGATGTCAGACAGACAACCATTCAGTCAGTTACCGTGGACATGCATGGAGTTCACGGATGTGCATTAGGCATCCACAACTCTTTCCAAAGTAGCAATGGGGAAGCCTTCCTCTTCTATTGTTGCACTCTTCCTAGCAGTAAACTGACTTTGCATTGGGAGCAGTTTTGAACTCTTTCTTCTTCTCTGTGTCTAGTTAAAAAAAGGGAATATTTTGTCACTCACCCTATGTCTGATTGTTCTAAAAAAAAAAAAAATGACTCCCCTACAGTGATGATGATGAAAGAAGCCTTTGGAACTTTTATGTAACAGAGAAACTCTAAACTGTTTATTCAGAAATAAGCCTTATGGAGCTCTGTGGGCACTTACAGCAGGCATGCACTTAGAAAGCCCCAGTGAATTTTTTTTTTTTTAATCTGTTCAATCCTATTCGATTCTCAGAGACTGCCTGGACAAGTCCCTGCAGTTTTCTTGGCAAGGTTTTTCAGAAGTAGTTTGCCATGGCCTCCTTCCTAGGGCTGAGAGAAAGCCCAAGGTCACCCAGAAGGCTTTCTGCCTAGGATGGGACTAGAACTCAGGGTCTCCCAGTTTCTAGCCTGATGCTTAACCACTACACCAAACTGGCTCTCTCCAGTGAACTTAGTAGGTCTTATTCTTGCATAGGAAATATAGGGTTCCACCGTAAATCTAGCTATCTAGCAATTTGGAACCATATTGAGTTCAGTACATCCTATTTTGTGAGAATTTGTGGTGTGACAGAACATTTTTTACTCCCTAAACATTATGCTAAAGGCATCTGACATTTCTCTGACTTAAGGTCAGGCAGCTGGAGATTTTAAATTAAAATGATTTAATGACCTATGAATGCTTGGCAAGAACTAACTCTGAAAGATCACCCTTTCTAAGATGAAATTGCAGCTCATTTGTTTGCCATAGATTACCTATAATTCTAATATACCATGTTCCTTATACAATCAATTTATTGTATCACCTTCCCAAATGCATTAACGGATGCACCTAGATGAACCTAGCTACCTTACTGAAAACATTATTTAGTACTGTGACCGTTTTAAAGTTTGTACATGAAAACAATCAGTTCCAAAGACTGCAGGAAGTGCTGTCATCAGAGAAAATCAGCTCCACACATTCCTGCTCAGGAAATCAATCCATCAATCGATCAATCAATCTCTCTTTCTCATGATATTTTCCCAAATAAACTAGGATACCCCTTTCTGACGATGGTTCTGATGCTTAATTTTAAACCAATCGTGCTGGTTTTCATAAGGCTTATACCTCATCATATGTGCACATAATTGTAGTCTGACTCCATTTCATCCTATCCAAATATTAATCTTACTTTTTCATAAAGAAGGGAAAGAGAACAGGTCTTTCTGTATGTGTTTGTGTATGTGTATACAGATCAACAATATAACAGCTGTGGGTGCCAGGGTACCTAGCACTTCTACTTGTGCCATCATCATTATGGATGTTTAAAATAAAAATATAATGCGGTTGTCACATTTTGCAAGATTTGTGTGAGACCCCATAAGAACTATAGGACACAAGGGGCATATTAAAAATACCTGAACTTCTTGAACCAAAAGATGAAGTCTTGCAAAACAAATGAATCTATACAGACAGTGATGGTCATGGTTTAAGGTTCTACCAAAATTAGTGTAAGACTACTTCTAAAATATCAGATGTTTCCCTTTTCATAGTTAATTAAGGAAAATGATGATGCATAATAAGAATTACATTTGTATTACTGTGTCATTTCTTTTAAGGAGCAAGATTTATCATTGCTTTCAAAAATTACTGCTAGACTTATTGCGCTGAAAAGTTATTGCTAGATTCCGTGAACAGTAACATTTTTAAAAAGCTAAAAAGCACTGGAAGATATAACGTATCATAAAAATATATAAAGTTGTCCTCAAATCAGACTCTACTACTGATGATTGATTGATTTAAACAATTTATATAGCTGCCCATCTCATAGGGTTGACTCTAGGGAGTACAGAAAAAGTTAAACCAAATAATAAAATCATCAACCAATAATCCACAAACCAAGGTGCATAAAAAGGATAAAAGGATTTCTTTTTAAACTACTCAGTCTAGCGAATAGCTTTGGGATTCTCTGGTTGTTTCACATCCAAATACTAACTAAGCCTGAGCTTCCTTAGCATTTTCAATGTCAGCCAAGATTAGGGTTACCAGATGTCTGGCAAAAGGAGGACATGCCCTCCTTTTTGACCTCATGTCCTCCATCCAGCAGGCATAGCCTTAAAATCAAATATTGTCTGGCTTTTTGCGTATCTAACAAGCTCTCTCTTCCTGAGCAGCTTTTCTCCCAGGTCCAGCACTTCCCTACTAAAGACTAATCACCAGTTAACAAACTCCTCTTTGTGACCTTAATTAGTTGATGAGAACCTGTAGGCTAAAATTGACAAGACCTTAATCAATTACATGTTGGACCGGCTCTAGCAGATTCCTGCATTTGAAAAACCAGTCTTTCTGATGCTGCAAAAAGTAATTTCATGTACATGTAGGCCTAAGTGCATTCTTTTTTTTGCAATTTTTCACTGTAATTTTTGTTGTGGATGCCAAGAAAGTTACACATGCAGCCCACCAAGCACCCTCGTATGGCCCACAATTGCTTTTTTAAAAAAGTAGTAAATTTACGGCTGCTGCTGCCCCAGAAGACACCCTTCTGAGCACCTCCAAACCTCACCACTGCCCATCAGCTCCAGTGCTTTGTGGAACAATTGATCATCACTTCAGGTATTTCTGGTGGTCCATGATGATTTTTAATTTATTCATGTGACCCTTTCCCCATGATGAGTTGTGCAGGCCTGATCCAGCTGCAGCCACTTGCTGTGACAGACAAATTTTTATCACGCACTTAAATGATAGGTGCTGTTTCCTGATGAGACATTGTACCATATACTCGCATCTGTTCATTCAGCTGCACTGGAACCAGTTTTGATTTGCAAGGAAAGTTGAATTGAAACTCTTGTCTATATTAGACAA